CCTCAAGATTAAACAAAAATTATGCAAGGCAAAATACCTTATATAATGTGCTTAAAGAAAGGCACCTGGGCAAATGGAGTAGTAGAATTGAATGGCAGAATTGATCTTGGTCTTTTAAAGAAACTCTTGTGTTTTCAGCCTCATTATTTCTGAAGAATTTATAATGGGCATGAAAAGGGGTCAGTTAAGAAATGGACACTATCACTTCATTGCCTTAGCTATCTTTGGCCTGAATCCTTTGATACAGGCAACATGGCATCGTAGAGAGCATCAGAAGACCTGAGTTCAAGTCCTACCTGCTAAACCCATAATAGCATTGTGACCTGGGCAAATAACAACCTCCCTATCCCAGGCAACCCTTTCCAGGCTCTAAGTTACAGACAACTTGATGATCTGCATCTATGAAGATACCAAATAAATCAGAGATCAAAATTGGATTTTTTTTTTGCCTTTATTATGGATTGAGATTCTCCTAATGCCTATCCTCCAAAGAAGTCACTGTTATTGTCCTAAGAAATGGAATTTCCAAATCTACAACCTTAACAACTAGGAAAGCAGGGCAGAAGAGAGGAGGGCCAAATCAGAGCAAGTAACAGACAGTTCAAAGTGAGTAGAAAGGACTACTAAGATGAAATCAGATTTAGCTGGAGAACAAAGAATTGTGAGTCAATGAAGGATCCAGCAGTCTGGTGGCCTAGACGAGGATGGGAGGTGAGGAAGAAAAACGTTCTCCTATTAAACATCATGTTCGACCAACAGAGCGAAGTATATCACATTGAAGTTCATTGCTTCAATTTCTAACCTTTCCTAAGTGCTTACTTGGCAGAGCACTGCCTAGTGCAGTATTTGTGTTTCTGAGAGCTTCTTAAAGGAACAGCAACAGACATCTCTACTATCCCCACATGCTTTTATTTTTTTTTTCAACTTAAGCAATAAAGTATGTTGGTCATGTGAATTACTACCTTGATTGAGGGGGAAGGTGATTATTTTAGCTTCTACATGAAATGACATTGAGCAACATGTGCATTATGTTACTTTTAAAGCCTATTTTAATATGAATTTTTATAGATTATAAGTTAGATTGATAACTGGAAGGAACATTGAGGGCTATCTTCTACTACCCATCTCCTACTACTCTTTATTTTTTTTACCCCCTTACTTTAAACTGAAGAAACTGAGGCCCAGAGAATTTATGTGGCTTTCCCTTGGTCTCACAATCACTGAATATCAGAGGGAAGTCTTAAATGCAAGTCTTCCTACCTCCAGCACCAGCTCAGCCCTTTATCCACTATTAAGCTGTCTTTCTTATAAGTCTCATAGTGACAGAGGCAGGATTTCAACTCAGGTTCTCTGATTCCAAGTCCCGTGTTCTTTCCACTTCACTGCTCTGCCTTCTGCTTTGTGAATTTATTTTGACAATAGGTCGACCCTTGTAAAAAGAACTGCCCTCCTTAATAGTAGAAATGGAGCTAAAGATTCTTTGTCTCCTAGGCTCTTCTTATGATAACTAGTGGGAAAAACCCATTTAAGAATATGATGGGGGGGGATGGTGTCAGCTAAGTGGAACAATGGATACTGGCTCTGGAGTCAGGAGGACCTGAGTTCAAATTCGGCCTCAGACACTTGACACTACCTGTGTGACCCTGGGCGGGTCACAACCCCAATTGCCTAGCCAAAAAAAAATAATATAATTTAGGTCTGATGATAACTAACCCTTTAGCTGGGATATCACCTCTACTCTCTCCCCACCAGAAAACTGAACACAGTCCCTGGGTTTTGGCAAGCCAGCTTTTACCTTATCTTATTCTGTTCCCACCCCCACCCCATCCCAAGTACTCCAAGGATATGGTAATATAGTCTTCCCCTCACCTCTTCCTGCCAACTTTCCATTAAATATTGCCTTTGCCTTTTGGAGTATAAGCTCCTTGAGGGCAGTGACTGTCTTTTATTTGTATTCTCAGGGCTTAGCACAGTGTCTTGCACATAGTAGGCATGTTCCCTTCCCTTGCCTACTTTTCCCCTGCCTTTCCCCCATTAGAATGTCATCTTTTTTTTTTTTTGGCAATTGGGATTAAGTGACTTGTCCAGGTCACACAGCTAGTAAGTGTCAAGTGTTTAGTTTAAAACTCAAGTCCTCCTGACTTCAGGGCCAGTGTTCTGTCTACTGCGCCACCTAGCCGTCCCAGAATGTAATCTTCTTGAAATCAGAGACTATCTACTGTGCTTTTATTTGTATTCCTAGGGCTTAGCACAGTGCCTGGAGCATACTAAAAACTTAATCAATACACTTTTTATTATACCCCAGTGTTAATACATGAGGCTTTTTCTGATTCTCTCCACCCAGAAATGTATATTTTGTTTGTATTTATTTTTATATACTCATTGTTACATACATTTTCTCTGATAAACTGTAATTTTCTTAATGGTAAAAACTTTCATTTTTGTCTTTGACTCCACTGCCTGGCACAATGCCAGGCACAAGTAGATGTTTAATAACTGT